AGCACAAGCTCATTAGAGCTGCCACACTGAGACAACAAAAAGGGTTGAAAGGTCGAAGCTGCTCTCAGTGGTAACTGCAATCCGGAGATGTGCTGGGAAGTTTCAGCAGCAACCTGCGAGGGATTTATTTTGCCTTCACATCCATATTAGTTCATGTTTGTGTGAGCCGTGACAGCTCTGGTCTGCTCAGTGTCTGCACACAGCCTGTAGCTGGACAGCGTTAGGCTGATGATGAGCAAATATTTCCACATATAACAATGCATTGCTCTTCATCTACCACGGTCAGCGAATTGTCACCTGGCCAGTGTTGATATTTTCAACATGATTAGATGTTAAACAGTATATTGAGCTTTCTGGAAACACATCTCGAGCACTGCTCACCTCTCGCTGCCAATATTTTGTCATTTGAGAGTATTTATTCTGTAGTTAAACCCTATAGCTTGCTTTCATTATTTCACTTTACATAAGCCTCCAATCTTTTAAGTATTTTTTAAATATTTTCTAGCATATGAGCTGTTGTAATCATAAAAGAACTGTTGACAGATAGAGTTTGTGTCATGTCTTTGCAAGAGCTGTAGCTGATCATTAAAATTAATGACATTAATGATGGTATCTAGGAAGAATCTCCTCTGTTCTACTCTGTTTATGAGTTGCTGACAGCTTGTTGATTATACAACTGGTGACCTCCGCTGGAAAAACTTTGTGAAACAGATCTGGTACAACAGGCTCTTTGACTATGACCTCGTTATTATGGTATGATTGATTTATTTAGAAATTAGTCTGGAAATTGGCAACAACTTGAATGACGGTGCCTTCCGAAGAATATGCAACCAATTATTTTTATTATAGATTAAGTTCATAATTATTCTGTTAGTTTATTCATCAAATAGTTTAAGATTCCCGTCCCACTTCCCAAAGTCCTGGGTGATGTCTTCATGTTGCTTGCTTGGTCCAAAGATAAGTAATGTGTTGTCACATCAGATGAACAGAAGCCCAGTCTGAGAAATTATTTATTTTTGCTTTTAAAAAATGCAAAAATAATAGTTTACAGCATCCAATTACATTCTAATAATAAGAAATTGTATTTTAATCTTTTTTTTTTGTATGGGCACATGTTGAATTGAAGCTCAGAATAAGGAATTAGTCCTTTTTTTGGAGCTGTAGAACATCGGTATCTGTAATGCCTACTTTAACACAAGAGCACCTGTGTTGTTGTACCAGTCAGTGGTTATGTCTGGTCTGAGTTTCCTCACAGAGCCATCTGCTTGGCAGATTTACACTTGAATGTGTTTGACTATTAGAGCCGTTTTATCGCTCTTTTTAAAGCCTCTGTTTATTATGGATACCACTGAGTTTACGTTTTAGGTGCTAAAAGTCTTTAACAGATGCCAGATTTATGCATTTTGTGGTCCATTACTTTGTTCCAGACTGAAATATCTCAACATCCACTGAATGAATGCTATGCTGACCTTTCCCCTATTGCTTCAGCAGGCTGACAGTTTGTATTAGTAAAATATTAATGTCAGGTCTTTATTGGAAATTTATGGTCAGGTCCAAATTTTAACTGGTCATAAACCAAAGTGTTGGACAAAATACCTGTAAAACTAGTGATGCTGTACTCTGTGTGTTTTGTGCTAATTAGCAAATGTTAGCACCATAAGACACTAAATGAAGATGGTTAACACAGTAAAACCTGCTCATCCGTGCACGTGAGCTTTGTCATTATGAGTATGTCAGCATATTTACATTAGCATGGCTCTTGTACAGTCATTTTACAGTTTATGGAATGATTTTGGCACAGACATTCACGGGCCCCAGAGGACGACTTTGGTGCTCCTCTGACTTTTCCTCTAGTGCTGCCAGCAGTTTGACAATTGTGCTTTTAAGTGACATGTCTCCACAACTACTAGGAGTATTGTCATGAAATTTTGTAAAGACATTCATGTTCCCCCATGAGGATTAATTGGAATCACTTTGTGGCACCTTAGCTTTTCATCTAGCATGATCATCAGTCATCATTGTCACTGTGAGCATGTTAGCATTCGGCTAATCACAGAGCCACTAACGTGTCTGTAGAGTCTTAGTCTTGTATCTATATGGGACTCATTTGTTTTCTTGCTTTTCTGTACACAGTGTTTGTTTTTTTAGCAGTGTAAATGTATAGAGTAGCCTGTTGTTCATGCACTTTCTGGTGCCGAGGTTTTATGTTATTGCAGCATCTTTGTCTAGAGAGAACCTCACAAAATAAATGTAAATGGACTGGTCTAATACAGAACTATACAAATACCAGTGATGTAGCAGTTACTTGAATTAGTGCACACAGTTAAAGTTGTCTTTCACCGCAAACAAAAAACCAAGATGTACTTTTTAGAGATTTAAAGATTTAAGCCTTATCCTCACTGAGCATATTAAGATTAAACTGTGTGGACGCTGTGTGTCCGTATGGTGGCATGTTGCCTGTTTATCCAGCTGAACTTCAAGTTGTACTGCGGCTTTAAATTCAGGTTTGGAATCGACTACAGTTAATTCCACAAAGCCTATTCCCTTTCAGCAGCTTGCTTTCATTTTAGTCCAAGATGGCTGGACACAAAAGTTAAATGTGCTTCCTGTTCTCATCTGTTAGATATATATGAAAATGTAACTGTGTATGCACAAGCAAAAATTTCCATTAGGAATCAGAGAATGTCTTCTCTGACACGTATCCACTTTTATTCATTTATTACCAACTGGGTAATTACTATAACTATACTGTTCTGTAACGTTATTTATTTATTCCCTACTGACTCACGAAGCACATTGAGCGCCTCTATACCCGAGTCAAATTCTTTGTGTGTTAATAAACTTGGCCAGTAAATCTGATTCTGATTTAGTTCTGCCAGGGAATGTACCACCGACTGGTTCATTTAGAGTGCTCGGATGTCAAGTCAAGTCAAGATTTAGAACAACTTAGTCTTAAAATAAAAAGTTACATAAAGGCAACAAAGCATTAAAACACAATACACAAAAATAGGGTAATAGTATTTTCCCCAGTGAACTTCAAACATCGCACTAAGTAATTCACATGGTGGAGTTGGATATGTCATTACGCTTGGTGAGGT